TTTTTTTTTTTTTTTTTTTTTTTTTTTTTTTTTCCTTTTCTTTTCTTTTCTTTTCTTTTGGGAAAGCATCCACACTTCTTTCCCTCCGTTCAGAGTTGCAAGTCAGGTCGTTATTATCTTCGACCACCGTCCTCACCGGAATAAAATAAAATGCACGGTCATTCTAGCTGTATGTATATGTGCCATCTTTCAGCCTAGATGGAGAGAGAATGACCGTGCGTTCTATTCGGGTGACATGGGGCAGGGATTCATGATGCCCAGGCGCTCGATTCGAGAGACGTAGGGCCTCGCCACACCACTCTCGAAATGTGAAAAGGACCAAAATGTGGCGGGTGCATTTGGCCATGTTCTAGTGAGAAATTCATTCTCGTTTTGGGAGGAGAGTTGTCTTCGTTTTCTGCTTCTCTTTTTTTGTTTTTTTTTTTATTTTTTTTTGTTTTTTTTAAATTTGGACTTTTCTTTTCGCCGTTGCCCCTGGCCTGAACGAATTAGTGATGAAAGGAGGGGAAAAGAAAAGAACAGGATTCGAAGCATCTGCTCTCTTCGAGCTCCCTAGGCAAAAAGAGCGTGTCAGGATCCGGCAAGAAAAGGACAAAAAGAGAATCATTATGAGTATACGACCTTTTGTCTTTCTCCTATCTTCTCTCTCTCCCTCCCCTCCCCCCTCTTCTCTCTCTCTCTCTCTCTCTCTCTCTGTGTGGAGCTCTTTTGCAACGAAAGGTTTGGTCTATCGCTTCAGAGAGAACAATAATAGTAATATAGCTTAGCAGTAGCTATGGACCGTCAACATGGGCTCATCAGCATTCGCGCAGCTCTGAGAAGGGTTGTTGCGATGACGACACCTTGTGAGTTTCTTTTCTTTCTCTCTGAAAAAGGATGGTCTGTATTCTGTCCTCCCTTTCGTTTTCTAACGTTGAAACTCATGATCTTTTTATCAACAGTTGGATGTGTACAATCAAGATTCGAACCCGTGATCTGTTTATCGACACTTGCATGTGTACCATGCAGCCACATATGCACAGGGTTTATTCTCTGGCTCTGCCGCCAACTCCTGGCCAACTATTCGCACATCCTCGTCACCCAAAGGCAGAAGGATGGAGCCCACACCCTCATTTCCCGTGAGCCGCGTGTAGGTATTAGGTCATGATGGGTGTCTAGGAGGGGCTCGATGTCAGGTGGTGTGTGGAGGACACCGCCATACGGCGGCGGTAAAAGTTGGGCGGGGGCGCATCGTGCGCGTTCTCATGGGCGCAACCTGCCTTTCGGAGAAGAGAGAGGGCCTGGTAGAGCAACCTGAGGAATGAGCCACAGGGTAGCACAGATGGATGGTGGGGTCCTATAGATGGGAGAGGAGGCACAAGGACGTCAGGTCGGCTAAAGAACTCTCATCATGAAAGCTAACGTCTTCCCCCGAATACAACGTGTACGGTCATTATATCTGCATTTAGACTGAAAGACACCCCAAATTCAACTAGAATGACCGTGCGTTGTATTGGGGGGAAGACTGTACGGATGACGCCGGTAAAATGCTTTTACACGGGAATAGGCCCATAGCATAGTGAGCCTCGCTCCGCTTCTGCTACCGTCCGAACACAACGCACCCTTATTTTGGCTGTATCTGGCCTGAAATATAGCTTGTATGCATTCATTTTTAGGGTGCGTTATGTATGGGGGAAGACGGTACGTAGTCACCAAATGTGGAAAATAAGAACGAATCTTCCGGTCGAAGATGGGCCGATACATCACCATTTTTTTTTTGTGTTTTCTGTATCTGGTGAGTAGTGGAGCGAGGCCCAATGAGCGAAGGGAAATGTGAGAGGCATTAGCAAGAAGCTTCATTATTGAAAGTTTGTGTCAGAGCGGAGGCGAAAGGCGAGAGTTGTGGTGGGAGTGGGTTGGGGGGAGCACTGCTGTAGATGAACGACGGCTGAGCGCATACTCACACTTGGTAGTGTACTTGATGTATCTGACTTCAATTGTGGCCAGAGCTGGATGAATCTGACCGCAATCATGTCCAGAGCTTATTACAGAAAGTGCTACTGTGTGTATGCCCTAAGCTCGGCAGCCAAGGGGAACCAACATGGGTAGATGTGAACCCGATTTACCCTTTGTCCAGCCCCTTGTGTGCACTTGGGTAGATGCTCTCTCTCTCTCTCTCTCTCTCTCTCTCTCTCTCTCTCTCTCTCTCACACACACACACACACACACACCTGTCTCTTATACACATCTAGATGTGTATAAGAGACAGCACACACACACACACACACACACACACCCTCCTCTGAGTTGGTGGGATCACACACACACACACACACACACACACACACACACACACACACAGACAACCTCCTGTGAGTCGGTGAAAATCCCACCAAAGAATCTGGAGAGATGGTTAAGGGAAGACCCAAAATTCAATGTGGATAGCGATGAGCCCATAACGTGGGGAAATCAGTACCCTGTTGGGAATCGGTCCACTGTTGGGAATGATGGGGTTGGGAGCATGCAATGCAAATGGGACAAGGCCCATGGGTGAGTATAGGCATATGATGAGACTATTGCCATCAGCCGTTGGAATGCCCACATCTGTTCCATGTAGGGCCCGAGAGGACAGTTGCAAAGAGCTCACACGGCTGTGTTTGACATGCCAGGTGTGCCAGCTGCTGTGCTGTGATGCGCCATCTATCCATCTGGAAGTGTGCGATCTTTGTGTTTTTTTTGTTTTTTTTTTTGAAGAAGAAACATCCTCGAACCATACCCCAGAGGCTGATAAGAGCAGACCCCTGTGGTAGGCCATGATGGCCCATGGGTGGCTCGAGTCTATTGGTGGGGAGCAACACCTGCTGGAAATCGGGTCCAGCGTCCCTCAACAGATGTATTCAAACT